TAGCCTTGTAGTCAATTAATATATATATATATATAATACAAATTCATATTTATATATATATATATATATAAAGGTAATAAAGTGATTGTTGAGCTAAACACAACTACTTGTTGAAATGCATGTTTATAATTGACTTGTTGAATATATGAGTTTATGAAAATTTATCAAACTCCAATAAATTATTGTACTGAAATTGGTTGATTGCAAGTTTTTTGTTAGCCCTATTTCGGAAAGACCCATTATAAAGTCTAATTGCAAGTGTGTTAATAATTAACAAAAAATATATTTAAAATACATTAAAATTCATGAATATTTATAAAATTATTAAATTGTTTCAAGTTTAATATTTTATATTTTTATATCAACTAATTTTTTTTAATTATCTCCTAAATACGCATGCTATCATCATTTTACGATAAAATTAGTTAAAATTAATACTTCTCTCTCTTTCATGCTAAACAAAAATGATTCGAACTCGTAGAATTAAGCTCGAATTCAAACTAAACTCAATTAATTAATGAAGCTATTATAAAATTTATCATCTTTTGATTCACTCATAGGACAAATATAGCGGACATTTTCATACCACTCACTTGTTCGTATCACATCAAAAAATTGTACTAATTGTCACTATTTAATTGTTAAACCCACATTTCCATGCTGTGTGTAAAAATGATAGTTTGGTTGTGAGATAACCAAATTCGTAAGAATTGTGTTCTATGCAAATTTTTTCTTTTTTTATATTTTATTTAAAAAAGATTTACATACATACCGCTTAATTCCTATGTATTGATATATCTATCTAAACTTCATTTCTTGCATACATACCTCCTCTTCTATGCATGTAAAGCTGTATCTCACTTTTTAAAACTTCAAATATCCATATTTTTTTATATGGTATGAAAATTTTATGTGGTATAAATATAAAAAAAAATAAAAGTTTAGATGTTAGACATTTAAAAGCATAGAAATTGACTGATATGCATGCAAATACCCCGTTAATTTCATTAATATTACCATCTTTAACAAAACTATTTCTTTCTAAAAAATAACTTTTTTTTTTCTAGACTTTCTTAGGGTCTGTTTTGGGCAGCTTATTTGGTGTGGTGGCGTTTTAAAAATGCACATGGTGTTTGGGTAAACTGTGTTTTGAGAGCTCTGCGTTTTCAAAAACGCTGAAAACAACGTTTTCACACCGCACCTAACTTATTAACAGATTATTTTTAATCAGCTTATCAATAGATTATTCAATAAGCTGCAGCTGCCCCAAACAAACCCTTAGGAAAATAAAGTTTCTTATATTATCACTTTTGCGTTCACCAGGGCTTGCTGCAATACTTCAGTCTAGTGGAGGGCTGTCTGTCTCTAATCAGCACCCATGAATCCCGCCACAACTTCACCTTCAAATGGATCCTCCGCAGCCGCGTAGACGGCTACTGGACTGCTCCCCTCACCCCCTCTGTCTTCCAACCCGCAGCCTATGTCATCCCCCCCGGCTCCCGCTTTGGCGGCCTCAACGACCGGTTCGGCTACCGCTTCACCTCCACCGCCGCGCTCTCCCGCCTCTCCCTCCTCCCCCGCCTCGACGTCGCCGGTTATCACGGCCTAAACTCCGAATCAGCCTTCAAAGGACAGGTAAACATCTCCAGCTTACAAGTGCGTGAAATTCCACTCCCCTTCTGCGTTCTCAGCGATCGACGCTACGAATTCCCGCCGGGGAAGTACGGCGTGCCGGTGGCCTCGATGGCGAATGTCGGGCCGTTGAACGGAGCCAAGTGCCGGCCGTGCTCCACGGCGTGCCGCGGGGAATGTGCGATGAAAATCGTGAGCAGAATGGTCGATGGGTGGAGTTGGGCTGAGTGGACGGATTTGAGGAAGGAGAGAAGTTTGGAGCTGTGTAATGCAACGGATGGATGGAAGGAGGGGTGGGAGGAGGTGTTTGATAGGGTGGCGGGAGAGGCGGCGGCGGCCGTGAGGCGGAGGGTGGTTGCGGTGAAGCTGCAGGAGTGTGTGGAAGAGTTTGAGAAGATGGAGCGGCGAACAGAGAGGTGGGACGCACCGGCGGCAGTGGAGATATGTAGATTGGGGTTGATAGGAGGATGATTGACTTAGAGGAGATGATTTTATTCTAGGACAACAAATATAGATTTTTAGCTTTAATTGATAAAATTATACCTTGTATTGAACACATAGACTAACACAAATTCTATGGAAATAAAACATTTTTAACATACATATAGGCAACATAGAGCAGGAAGAAGAACGCATTTCATGTAAGATTGTACTGATCATAATGATAACAATATGGGCATTGATACAATGTTAAGGACTTTTAGGGTTTAATAAAGTGATGCTATTCAAGAACATTTTCTGCCCAATTTAAAGTTAAATAATGTATTATTATAATACTTTCACTTTATTGCTGTTTTGTTTTTTTTAAGTACTAATTAGAGGCATGAGTCACATTATAAAAGGGCCATAAGAGGAATAAAGCAGAGACTAAGCATTGCTTTCGAATTATTGTTCCTCCTATTGACATGAGAGTTGCTCCACTCTTTAAATAAATTTATACGAAAAATAAGAAAATATGGTGAATCAATTAAAATGAAAATAGAATTGCATTAAATGAGTGAATGTTGGTTGATTTAACAAATAAATTGGAGCCACGTCTTCTTGTTCGGCTCTTTCTAGCCAAAACGGTAAGAGCCCAGTGGGCCAAGCCCATCGCTTGAGATAATTTGAATTCAAATTGTGCCACCAATTCATGACTGTTAGTACTAGGAGTGTAAACGAACCAAACACGAATGAACAAAGCTTGTGTTTTAGTTTGATTAGTTTAAAATTTAATTTGTTTGAAATAAGCTCGTATTCAAAATTATTTGTGAAGTCACTGTTTGTGTTCTTTTCTTAACGAACACGAGCCAACCATTAGTTGTTCGTGAATGACGAGCCAGTTTGACATCCCTAATACAAGCCAAACATTAGTTGTTCGCGAATGACGAGCCAGTTTGACATCCCTAATATTAATATATATAATAATATATTATATTAATTATATAACTTATAGTATATAAATATATAATACCTATATTAATATATTACGAATATAGTATATTAATATATTATTATTAATAATTTATTATATATTATAATTTATAAAATTTAATTATTTAAATTATCATAAATTTTTTGTATATTATTTTAAATTATTTTATATTTCGAACAATAATGGTTCGAACACGAACGAACGCATCATTGTTAGTGTTTGGTTCGTTTAACTAACCGAACGAAAAAAAATTAATCACGTTCGTCTCGTTCACTTATCGAACAAATCAAATACGAACTCATTTATGAACCAAACACGAACTGTTCACGAACAATGAGCTTTTTTGACATGCCTACATGTGGTGGTCATTGGGTCATGGATTGACCAAGTTTGTCTTTTTTAGGTAGAGTGTTGAAAAATATGGTCAATGTGATGACCATGGAGGTTCATTTTAGTCATTTTGACCAATAGTTGATTAATTGTATCTGTAGTTGATGAAATGGCCCAGTTTAACTATTTTGGTGTTTTGGAATGATCAAATGATCCAATTTGACCATTTCATGGTTTAGACTGATTCACTGGTCCAAATTGACCAAAGTTGACCAAAATTAACTAATTGGGTCAAAGTTAACCAATTAGATCAATTAAGTGTCACTGTTGATTTAATAACCATTATGGTGGCCTTTAAGTCAGAGTTTAACCAGATCAAGGTTTGTCGCTATTGAGTTGATCATTTTAGGTTATTGTCATTATTAAGATCCAAAAGGAGTGCTTTGAGGGATATTTCAATTTTTAGGGTTTTATTGACCCTAGATATACTCAAAGAAGTTAATGTTGGCAGACCCTTTATCTTGATGATCACAATTATTATTTTCAAGTCTTTTAACTATGTCTGAGAATCTTAAGTCATAAGATTTCTCAAGTTGAATTTCGTATATGGATGTTATTATAAGACCTTCACCAAAAGTGAGGTCCATAAATGGGCCCCCAATATGTGTGGAATACTGGTTAAGTATGCCGCACATATTGGCATTGACTGAAACGTCACAAATAGTTTTTGGATTGTCGGTTATCGGATAATTTTGAGAATAAATGTCATGTCCCCTTAAATGAGATCTCATAAGAACATATATCTACATGCGAACTCCCAGTGATATACTGTTATGTGTGTTATATCGGGTTCACCTAAAAAAATATTACAGTGGAACAACGAAGATTATTAAAGTGGAACCGTGGATGCTATTAGAATAGAACTGCAGATGTTATTTAGAGGATTATTGAGAAATTAATGGGAGTTATTGGGGGTTATTGAGGTATTAACTTCAATAATGTAGCAATAACCCCTCGATAACCTCCAATAACCTTCGCGGTTCCACTCCAATAACCCCTATAATAACCACTGTAGTCACCCTCTAATAACCTCTGCGGTTACACTTCAATAACTTCATGCAATAGCTCCCCAATAACCTTCGTGGTTCCACTTCAATAACTCTCTGCATGAACCCCAACAATAACCCCTTATCAACCCCTTTCACTTAGATAATCCATAGTTACCTTCGCGATATAACACGTGGCGTCATATTCTGCACGTATTGTCACGCCCGGAGTCCAAACAGAAAACTTTTCCCGTGCATCCTATTCCACCAGAACTAACAAATCCCACTCAAGAAGACACATTAAAATTTAATCTCTAATAAAAAATTATTTAAGTTCCTATAGACATGTATTTTTCAACATATTTCTTAATTATCATGTGCCGTGGATCTGAAGTTCTCTGTACCAACTTTTTCAAATCTCTATTATTCAGAGAATTTTAATATTCCAATTTAATTATAACTTCTTAATAAATTTTCATTAATTTGCACAAAGAGAAGCTTTTCATAACCAAATCTATAAAAATATAATATTGAATTTTTATAAAAGACAAAAAAAAACTCATAATATTTGCAACAAATTTTAAAAATATATGCATGTTCCCATGATAATTTCAGCTATTTATACAGACAATTAATTGCTTGGATCACAATCTGACTCCCTCAGCAAAAATGTTACAAAATTTGATCCAAACAGACTCCTAAACACAGAAAAAATTTGTGTACGATAGACGTACACAGCGCTACGTACGATTTCGAGGTTATACGGAGGGTATAAAGGGGTTATACATGCACCTCCATGTAACCTAGTGTAACCTACTTGCAACCTACAAATAAGTTTCGCGCTTTTGTTATCATATATTAAGAATTTATTAGTGGGTTATAAGTAAGTTACAGAATGTTACATGAAGGTTACAATGGGTCATACCACGAATATAACCCCCTTATACCCTCGATTTAACCTCAAAATCATACGCAGCGCTGCATATGTCTATCGTACGCAAATTTTTCCACTAAACACAACCAAATTCAAAGCTGTCATCACATCAAACAGAAGTAATTCGCCAACACTAACTATTGCAAATCCTATTAAAATGATGAAGATAATAAGAAAACACCAAAAAAAAAAAAAAAAAAAAAAAAAAAAAAAAAAAAAAAAAAAAAAATTTGGATCAGTGCCATAAAAACAGTAAATTCTCCAAATATAATGAGAAATTTACATTAAACCAGAGCTTACCTGGAAGAAGCCTCAAAGGCCTGTTTCACTCCTTCAACTATCTCTCTGATCTCCTCTCCGATCCCAACAACTGTAGATCCCATAAACTCCTTATACTGAGAGACACTATCGATCAACGAATAGAGCTCCTGAGCACATAATTGAGTCTCCTCCGTGCACTCTATCAAAGTCCTCTTCAGCTTTTCTTCAGACTCCTACAAACATAAAATCATTTCCTAATTCAAAAACTAAACGAAATAGAAAGTTTACATGTTTTATTTATTTAACACCCAAAATTTACACTTTTGACATCTTCGTGTTATAATTGTAATCATTTTCGACGTGATGTTATAGATTTGAGCGGCATGCACGTAAATACATAAGAATTGTGTGGTATGTATGTAAATCCCCCAATAGAAATTAGGAAAAGGTAAAAACAACCATTAATAGCTCCTGTGCCTCCCTGTCCATTAGTTTCAGTTGTTCTTCTTTTGCTTCTGACTCCTCTTCTATGTTCTCCATTTCAGATGAGCATTTCAAACCATGTTCTTCAATTTCCAACTTAAGCATATCAACCTGACTTTCAATCTGAAATTAAACAAAAACAAAAATGTTTAAATCATCCATATTGTGAAGAAACAAAGCATTGATCAAAATTTGTATTCATAAGAAAATTTTATCAAAAATGTGTTTCATACTCGTTTGATTTGCTTTGAGATGAATGAACTATGAGTTTGATTGATTAGATGTGTATGGCACAAATCTCAAAGAAAATTCAATGATTACAAGATTCACCCTAATCAAATTTGGAATTAGGACAACCTTATGCAGTTGTGTTCCTATCCTGTATCCAAATAAAGACATCAGAAACAATGAATACTCATTGAATTATACCATTTGTGGTAGGAATTCAAGATACCAAGTTTTACAAAAAATAAAGTTCAGAATACAGCAATACCAATACAGTCTGGATGTATAACTGCAGAATTAGATAATAGAGCAGAATAATTTTATTGATATGAAAGAGGAGGTATACATACAGATTACATGACTTCTAACATAGGAAAGACATAAAATAGGAAAGACGGACAAATATGAAATACAAAAAAAAGAAAAAAAATATATATATATAAAACAGGAAATATAGTAAAAAGAAATAAATTAATGCTAATAATTTCTAACACTCCCCCTCAAATTGAAGCATAAATATCAATCATGTTCAACTTAAATTTGAACTCATCAAACAACAACCGCAGAAGATTCTTCGTAAAAATATATGCTAGTTGATTAGTTGAAGGGACAAATAAAAAACAAATTTCTCCATAATCAAGTTTCTCCTTGATAGAATGATGGGCAATCTCCAAATGCTTGGAACGAACATGTTAGATCGAATTACGGGCAATGCTGATGGCGGCCTTAAAATCAGAACATAACTACAAAACAACGGAGACCGGCATACGTAACTCACAGAGCATGATGCGCAACCAGAGAGCTTTGCAAATGCCTAGAGACGTAGACCAAAGCTCTGCTTCAACACTGCTACGAGCAATCACAAATTGTTTTTTTCTTTTTCCATGTGACAAGATTTCCCCAAATGAAGGAAAAATATTCAGAGGTAGAACCTCGGATCATGGACGTACCCGACACAAACGGTGTCCGCACAAATAGTAATAGAATGAGAGATGCAATGAGAGTATAACAAACATGAGCCCGATATGTCTTTCAAGTAGTGGAGGATCCGATGGGCAGTTGTGAGGTGCTAAAAAATTCTAGCTCCTTGGACTCGGTGACAGTGGGAGTAGGTAAAATATCCAATGGAGTCGGGAAAGGAACAGAGTTCAAAAATTCTAGCTCCCCCTCACCCGAGGTAATTTTAGGGGAGTATGGGACACTTTCAAACAAGGAGATATCGACACCCACATAAAGTTTAATTGTGGTGGGATCAAGGCACAGATAGCCTTTTTGAGTGTAAAAAAATCCAAGGAAGATACATTTGATGGAACAGAGATCAAGTTTACTACGAGATGGATGAATGTTTCAAACAAAGGTTGTGCACCTGAATATTTTGGAGTCTAACATGAAGAAAAACTGATTGATAGGAAAATATGACATCAAGATAGATAACGGGGTGGGGTCCGAAAGTTTTGGATTTAGTGGGGACTATATTGATGAGATATGCGATGATAAAGATAACTTCATTCCAAAAATGTTTCAGGACAGTATATTGAAATATAATGAAACGAGTAACTTCAAGAAGGTAGCAGTTTTTCAGCTCGACTACCTCATTTTGTTGAAGGGTATTCATACAAGAGCTATGATGGAGGATGCCCTTAACTACCAAAAATTCTCCCAACATAGAATTAAAAAATTCACGACCATTGTCGGTTTGAAGGACTTGAATAGTAGTTTTGAAATGAGTCAAATATGGAGTGAAAAGTTTTTATTGTGACAGCAACTTCAAATTTGTCTTTTAATATATAGATTCAAGTCACCAGAGTGCAGTCATCAATCAAGATAAGCAACCACTTTTTGTTGGTGTAGCTTGAAGTCCAAGAGAATCCCAATAAGTCACTATGAATCAATGAAACAGGAGCGAAAGAAGTGTAAGGGTGAGGTGGATATGGTACACGTTAATGTTTAGCTAAATGACAAATCTCACATTTAAAACTGAATAAATTTTTATTTGTAAATATCAAATGATACAATTATTTTAAATAATAAAAAAACTGAGATGACCCAAACGACAATGTAAAAACATAATAGAACATTTAGTAGACCAGAAAAAACTACAACTATAAGATCGGGTATTTGGGTCATCAATGCCTTTTGCTTGGAAGAAGTATAGTCTGGTTACACGCTTAGCAATTCAAATCATTCTCCCCAAATGACGATCCTAAAAGACACATATATCAGGAGAAAAATGAGCAACGCAATTCAGATCATATGTAACCTTACTGGCAGAGGTTACATTTCAGTAACGAAACAAAAAATACGAATCCCAGAGTCAGCCTGACTGTTAGAACAACAACCATTTACCAACAATGAAATTTAATGAGTCATTGACAATTTTAATAGTATCTCTCCCGAAGTACAAAAATATGTGGAGAAGATTTGTGAACACCTGATCATGTGATCCATGACACCTGAATCAATAATCTACAGATTAGAAGAAACAGAAGTGAGTGCCATAAACTATAATCTTGACAAGCATGGGACATCGACAGACCGGAGAATTGACTCAATCCAAACAGCTTAATTAAGTGTTTCATTTGACTCTTGATGAGTGTGGTGATTTAGCAAAGGTCCAGGTGTAGTTTGGTTGCACAGCCGCAGATTCTGAGATCGTAGTCCAGGTGGAGTTTGGTTGCACAGCCGCAGATTCTGAGATCGTAGAAAATCCTTGAGCATGGGAGGATTTGACCAAAGATTTATTTGTTGGTTTCCCATGGAGTTGTCAACACTTATTATGAGTAAGATATGGTTTGTGACAGAAGTCAAATGTGTGTTCGGGCATGACAGTGTTGGTTACTAATTGGCGACCAAGGCTAAAGGTTTCACCGAAGGAGAGGAGGTCTCAAGCCTAAGAATTCTCCGGACATTTTCGCGGCAAGTCTCTGTGTATTCTGCCCTGAGTTGAAGGGGTCACGACCAACAATGTGTCCCCAGACTTCATCAAGCTTCTTGTTTAGGCAGGCCAGAAATTGAAATACACAATCCTTTTCCACAATTTTTTGGAAGAGTGTAAGATCAGTAGGAGAGTTCCAGGTGTAGTTGTAGCAGAGATCACATTTCATCTATAAAGCAACAATGTCATTGCAGTATTGTGTCACCGTCCTTGATCCCTATTTTGCATTGCGGAGCTTTTTATTGACCTCATAGAGTTGGTCAAAATTCCTTACGTCCAAGTAGGTATCACAAGCGACAGTCAAGAGTGTATTAGCAGACAGAAGAAATAGGTAAGAACGGCCAATCAAGGTTTCTATGGAATTAATCAGCCATGACATGACCATGGAATTCTCCACTTCCCAAACTCCATACGTTGAGTTAGTCTTTGGAGGTTCACGAATCATCTTTCTGAGGTGGTTGAATTACCTCAAATTTTAGCAAACAATGACACAACTTGAGACAATCGGAGAAAATTAGAATCGTTGAGCTTATGGCTGGTGATCAGAAAGTTAATGTGATTTTCAGATCCTCTGGTCTACGGAGAGACTGCGGTTGGTGTCAATCCTCAAGAGGAATAAAGTACACCGTCGTAAGGAAGCTCGATGGTGGAGGAGTTCGCCATCATTCCAACTGAGCAAAAGTTGAGGTTGGGCTGTCGAGATATAGAAAGATTTTGGCTGAGAAGATCAAAGATAAAAGGTCCTGCAAGCGGCTAGAAACAGCCTGCAGGTAGGTACGCCCAGCAAGTGAAGTTGACAGGAGGGCCTGCAGGTTCAGCGACAATTTCATGCAAAGTTTAGCAGCAAATTCCTGTAGGGCTCAGCGGTAGAAATTTCTGTAGGGTGGGGGTAGAGGTAGGTCAGTGGGAGATCCTGCAAGAAGGAAGAGCCTCTAGTCTGGAAAAGAAAGGGTCGACGACTATAAAAAAGGCAGGTAGGACCTGCAGGAAGAAGGAACCGACAACTAGGGTGATGTCCCGAAAGCAATTAGGGTTAGATCCATGCTCTGATATCATGTAGATTAGCGAATAGAGCAGAATAATTTTATTGATATGAAAGTGCAGACATAAGTACAGATCAAATCACTCCTAATATAGAAAAGATAGAAAATAGGAAAGACATACAAATAAGAAATACATAAAATAGGAAAGAAATATATAAAACAAAAAATATAAAAAACAATTGAAATAAAACAATGCCAATAACTTCTAAAAATAACTATAACATGTTGTGAATTAATGGAATAAAGCACTCAACATTAAGCTAATGACCAACCCATTTTACTGCCTAAGAGTAAAGGATATTGCTTGTAATTTATCTTATAATGCTTTATTTCGTTTAAGTTAATTAATAATTTGATTGGCTAATTTCAAGTGATGAAACTAGAATTTTAGAACAATTAGTAATTATTACAATCAAGATAAAGTTGTTAGAATCAAAACGTCGTTATTTCATTGAATGTTATAATACCCATATAGCAACGGTTCGCATTCCTAACTAGGTCGGAAAGGTTGTGGTGATGTAGAATGCCATTTAAAATATTTATTATTAACTTAATATGACATGAGAAAAAACTTGCAAGAAACTCTGAAAATTTAGATGACACAAAAGTATTATCACAAAACAGGCATTGAACATTATGATGAAAATAAAAAAGGGAAATTTACATGTATAGCACACAATTCTTATTTATTTACATACCTCACTAACTTTCATATTTACATAGCACTTCGGTGTTCTAAACATATGCATAAAAAGGTATTTCACTTTTAAAAAGTGATAAAAGTGATATATTTAACATGATATTAAAGATTTGAGTGTTACATGTGTAGAAATGAAAAATTAGGTGTAAGATATGTAAACACATAAAAATAGTGTACTATGTATGTAAGTGTCCCCAAATAAAAAATATGATGGTAATCA